AATCCAGCAGGATAAACTTCACTGTGTCAATGTGTATCTCCATGTTGAAAACATTCAGAAAACAACCGTAACACCCCAAAGACAAAATTTCAGTCTTCCTGTTTAAAAAAAAAAAAAATCATATATATATATATATAAAAAATTCACTCTCTGAACTGTATTGGAGCATGCTCAATCAAAATGTTCAAATATACGCAACTATTAAAGTAGATCACTTCAATCAGGAAATGTGGTGAGTATCAAGAAATAGTTTTCATTATAGCAATGATTACTGCAACAGCAGCTATTTATATTGTGAAGTAGATAGCTCCTGTCCCAACCTATGCCTGCCGCTTGGAAATCATACTACTTTTCCCAGGGTTCCCCCTCCCCCAGTCGCAAGTACTGACACTACAAAGAGGGAATAAATTAATATGTTGCGATCAAGCACACCAGAGGTTTTCTGTCACGTCCCATATAATTAAACATCATCCCCATTATAAAGCTGTATCCCAGCACTGTATACTTTATCTTGCCCTTAAGACTGCTCCTGCAGCTCTTCAGCCTTTTCGAAGAGTTCACTTTGTCCTGACACTAAATAGCCATTTGTCCCCTGCTTCCCCTGTGTTACCTGATGTGGTGGTTTTAAAGTTTGAATAATTAGGCTGTTACCCTTAAAACAAACTGCAAATGATAGGGAGTATCAAAACGAGGTCTATATTTGAAAAAGGCAAGATGAAAGAATGGAAGAAAATGTAACCAAATCAAAAATAAAACTCGGATTATTACTGAAGCAGCTTACTGGGGCTGAGATTCAATGTATACTAAATATCTGGGAACTAAGAAAAAGCCTACTTTGTATTTTAGTCATATCAGTACACAAGACACTTAAGCCATTATACTGTGTTACAAGAATATCTCAAGACGTCAGTAGGTTTGAAAGGGTTTCTACAAATAATCTTGGAACAAAACTATGAGTTTTCTGAATCCTACCCCTAACCTGTAAAAAGCACAAAGAAAACAAATCTTGCCTCTTCAAAGATCTGGTATGGCAGCTACAGAGTTCATCGACCTCACATCCCAGAAGACCACCCACGCAAAGGAGCGTATTTATCAATTCCTACATTAACAAATGCAATAAATGCCAGATTCACCCTTTATACTAGAAAAAAATGCCACTGAAACATTTGACTACTGACCTTTCACAGCCATGAAATGTGACACAGATATATCTACTTGAGCATCCACAGCACCAGCGCTTGCACTGCACCCCTAAGCCAGGACACAAATCACTAAAGTAGTACAGCTGGTATGCTGAATATCCCATTTGCTCCTGCCTGCACTTGAATGAAGTCATTGAAAGCCTCCTCGGAGGGGAAATGTGCCTCAGACTAATGCAGCAACCGATTGACAGTGGCGTGATTTCTATTATTACTCCATTATCACACTGGGATCTGTGCCTAAACGAGCATACTTCCTCCCTGATGCCATTTCCTTTTATCCTGGCTCTAGTCTAAAAGCGGATCAATGGGAGTAATATATATGATGTCACTTCAATTTACAGCTACTGCCTCCCTCTCTCGCGTGCACAGATAGATCGATTCTTCCCAAAAATGGTTAAGAAATGCACGGGGAGACTCTTCTCCCAGAAAAGGGTTCTCTGCTATATTTGTCTGTGTAACCACAGCAAGGAACTGTTTACACTGAGCAAAAACAGGGGGGAAAGGAAAAAAATGCCACTACTGTGCTCTGGAAAATGCTGGCTGAAACACAACACAAACAAGGCCCAAAACAGAATTAAAGCAATCTGACCTTTGAAAATTATACAGAAAAGTTTCAAGTTTCTA